AAACCGAGATTAAAGTTAATCTACGTTGGTGGAATCGGGCATTAATGATCTTAAACATCAAAAAGCTGGATGACATCGAAAAATTGGAATCTAAAAAAATAAGTGATAAAAAATCCAAAAATAAATACATCCGTCAATGTGTATAATTTAAAGTTTCAGAAATATAGGCAAATGCTAATAAAATAAAATTATTATAAATAAAATTGCTTGGGATTGACAAAATTGAAGGCAAATAGAAGTCAAAGACCTGTGTTTAGAAACTTGTAACAACGAGAGACAAGTGAATGTAGAAAGATAAGTACTATCATAAAAAAAGGAAAAGAGAAAATAAATACCACGGCAAGAGTTGTGATGACACAGGCTGTGGTGTAAGCCCGTGTTACCACGGGCATTTGCATGTACTCGTGCCATAACGCTTCGTAGGCCATTGGCGCCGATGTTCGGCGATTCTCCGCCAGATATTCCGTCCTTCACACCGAGACCTCGCAGCTGCACTTCCGCCGCTTCCTATCCTTGCCCGCTTCACCATCGCATGTTGCACCAACGCGGCAATGTTATCTGCACATCGTACGTGAATTTGTTGTCCATACAATTTTTGTACACGTAACACGTGAAATTGTCGCCAATCTACATCTGGGAATTTTTATCACCAATGCCGCCAAGATCACAATCCAAAATCACCAACTCTCGCTTCTAATGACTTTTTCACTCTTCGGTTGCCCATCTGCTCATTGATCACTGCACAAAGCGGCAAACTTTACTCGTCACTGCGAATTGTTTATCGTATGTGTGTATTGACTTTTTGCGCGAATTTCAGCTAAAGTATTCGCAAATAAAGTGAGATAATTGCTGTGATCGATTAATTGTTAAGGATTCAGATAATTAAAAATGGTTCTTACGAAAGAATATCGCATTTGTATGCCACTTACTACGGAAGAGGTAATATTTAAGTGTTATTTAGCTATTTAATTATTCAAACGATTAGGTCTACTTGTACAACTTTGAGTTCGATGTATATTCTCATTTATACATTATTTCTTGAGATATAATCTATGTTAAAAACGTACTTTATACTAAAAAATTTTATTCTTTTAGTACCGCATTGGTCAATTATACATGATTGCCAGACATAGTCATGAACAATCGGATAATGATGAAGGAGTAGAAGTAGTAGAAAATAGTGCATGTGAAGATCCTGTTCATGGGAAAGGCCAGTATACTGAGAAAAGAATTCATCTTTCCAGGTAAAGCTTTTTTTGTATATGTATTATGTTGATATATCTGTGATGTGTCATGATATATATATATATATAGAGTTATAGGTTATAAAGTTTAAGTATCTAATAGTGTCTTTAATCTTTGCTTTTTTACCGTAAATTCTGTAATATTTTATTTTTCTTACAGTAAACTCCCTTATTGGATACAGTCTATTCTACCACGAATATTTTATGTGACGGAGAAAGCATGGAACTACTATCCTTTCACTATCACAGGTATATACATTATCTATTTACGCAATGTAACATTCACTCTATCATTTCACAGTCAATGTTTTATAATAAATATTTTTAATTTTGCATATAAAATAGTCTATGAATATTTAGCATAAAAATGATTTTTTAATTTTGTGCTTTTTGAAAAAAACTTTTATTAACATAGCTTATTTTTTTTGCATGATTGTTCATGACGACTGCAGAATACACTGTGAGTAGCATTCAGCATAAATATTGCTTTAAAATTTCCTATTATTTTTAAATTTCTTTTTTTCAGTGTTCCTTCATACCAAAGTTTCACATAGCAATAAACACGCGGTATGAAGATAACAATGGCTCAACTGAAAATGTAATCTATTACATTTTGCTTACATTGTCACATATTTAATTCTTGTCGTAACAATTATTTCAACATTGATTTTATCAAATTATAGTGCTTAGGATTGTCGCCCATTGAATTGATCCATCGAGAGGTCGATTTTGTAGATATTGCATACGATGAGATCTCCGCAAAGCATTATAAAGAAGAGGAAGTAAGTCTATGAATTTTAAATTTAGCGTATCTAATCTTTAACTTAACATTTTATTTGAATTAAAATGTTTTAACAGGATCCAAAGTTTTATCAATCACAACGAACGGGTCGCGGCCCTTTAGTTGAAGGTTGGAGAGATACAACACAACCAATAATGTGCTCTTACAAATTGGTTCATGCCTCATTCGAAGTTTGGGGTATGCAAACGCGAGTGGAGGATTTTATACATAGAGTAAGTTTAATTAATCTTATACTTATCTTACATTTTGCTAATATAAATTACATTATAAATAGTATTGTAATTGTTAAAAAAAAGTACTTACGATTATTATTTATATCTTCTATCATTTTAGTGTATAAGGGACATCCTGCTATTGGGCCACAGACAGGCCTTCGCCTGGATCGATGAGTGGTATGACATGACACTGGAGGATGTACGGCAATACGAACAGAAGATGCAAACTGAAACAAACGAGAAAGTTAGGCTGAGGAATCAGCTCAACGAAAAGCCGACCAACACACCATCCACGTCCGTGCCGGCCACGCCGACTATGCCGACCACGCCGACCACGCCGACCACGCCGACGGCAAAATCGCCAACACAAAATCGTTCTTGGTTCTCTTGGTCGTAGCTACAATTAATATAACAATCGATCCCGTCCGCTGCAACAGCTTTTTGTTGCTTCGGTTAATATTGCGCGAAGGAAACGAATGACATTCTCTATTTCCCACGTTCATGTATATATTGAGTGTTCCAGAGATTGCGCGAATCGGTAACTACGACATATTCTTAAAATAAATTTTGCAGTATATAAATTAATCAGTGATCTATGAAATTTTCTTTGAGATAAGAAAATTTTCGAAAGTACAACTAAATTTATTTTTATTACTAATTTAATTTCGTTAAATAATTCAGCGTCTTTTGTGAAAGTTTGTTTTATGAAGAATTAAAAAATAATTATAAATAATGGCTTTAATTTCAAAGAAGAAAAAAACCAATCTTTTATTAAAAGAATACGTCTATAATTATTGATTATTGCTTTTCTTCTGGGACGTCTCGTATACATACATATGTGTAGTTCCTTACATGTAGGCTTGTTGTGTTTTTACTTCCGTTTGGATGTATCATGGAAGAACGCACTCGAAAACGTCGCACTGTATGCGGTTAGACTGCTCACTTTTAAGGATTCAATCTCAAAAACGCCTAAACAGAAAACTGGTCTAAGTCATCCTGAAAATGGCGTGAAGACATGTGAAATACCTTTGTCTTTTCTATAACTAGTTTAGATTTAATTTAAATCACACATTTACAATCACACCTTGTACATCCTCATAAATTCCATTCGCGTTTTGTTGGTGAGTTAGCAATAAATTATTACTTTTATCGTGCAAAATTGTATCCTATAATTTAGTATACCAAATTTTTATTTACCATGTGATGTAGAGGCACTTGAAAATATACATGGAAATATATGTGTTTGCAAATAATTTTTGTTTAAATAAATATCTCCATATCTCATTATATTAGCGTTAATTATGTCAACAATCATTATCATTCTTTATCGGCAATATGTGCAGTGTAGACATAATATTTTAACTAAAGCACAATTAAATTACTCAATCAATTTACATAAACAAAAATTCAACGATATAGACATAATGATTTACATTTGGAAATTGTACATTTGTTTATCGTCTAATTAGGATCAACGATTGCTGGATGTAATCTACCAACGGCTGGGTGTCGCAGCGGTGTAAAAAGTACACGTGCCATCTCGCCAATGTGGCCTGTTAGCAAAATTTTACGTATCGAATTACTAGCACGCTACTAAACTTCGTTAATAAGAGATGGACTACAATAAATATTCTAATTTAGTACAAATTTGGCGCTAAAAAAATTATTAATCATGATCTTACAAGCGTTATAGTGATTTGTAAGTCGAACGATGGGATACAATAAAGAAAGTTCCTGTAATCTTAATTCCTCAGATTCTTCCAGCGAAGTTGAAGATGTCTAAAAATAAACAATTATATTGGTTATTCTAATTAGACTTCTAATTATAGAACTATTGCTAATTGCAAGACCGTCAATTTAACAAGCCACTAGCAGCTATTCCAACAGGAATTTCTTACATCAGCGTAATTCGTTGCAGAATTTAACATAGTTTCCGTATGAATATCGCGCTGTTCATTCCGATGGAGTTGTACAGCGGCTTCTGTAATTAATTCATTAAACCTGGCTGCTACTTGCTTCCATCTTGTCAAATCGCTAGGCTATAAAATAAAACTGGAATAAAATAAATCTAATATCGCATAAATAATAATGCTCAAAATATTTTTTAATTAGAGTGAAAAGAAAGAAAATTTCAGTTAATATATAATCAATTGTTCAATGTTTTATAAAAGGACGTAAAATTGCATGAATTATAAAATCCTCAGTTGAATATCGCTATATAAAATTAATTAAATTTAATGAAATAAATTCAGTAATGTCTTCAAATTGTAATGTGTTCCAGTTCTCATGAACAAATTTTGAATAGAAACAGTTTTTTTTAATAAAGTTTTTTTTAATTAAGTTTAATTGTAAATTTTAATTTTATGATACAACGTCCTTTTAAAACTGCAATGTCAACCATATATATCATCACCGATAAATTAAAGAACACTGGCAAAAGAGCGAGAGGCAAAGGAGATCCGCGCAATTCAGAACGCTCGGACGGAGGCCCTGATAAAGTCAAGTGTCTTAAAAGATCCAAAACGTCGGTCAGGAGTTCGCCGTGACGACCGCTGACGTCCTGTTTGATAAGTCCTAGAGCATCCTGAGCGATAACGTGTGCTTCCACACCTGGATTATCCGCTGATCAAACGTAGACGTTTATTTAAGGCCTACTTGTACCGTTTATTCAACATATTGTCCAAAAATTCAACATTAAGAATTAAAAAATTAATAAAATTCTGTCATTATAACTAAATAGAAAATTAATACGAAATTTGCGCATCTGTCGTTAAACTTTATGCGTTTGACGTCATGTTATTGCAATGCACCGGAACTCGAATTTCGCTGACGGTGAATTTATAAACGTTCGTCGCGACCAAACGTTGTGTCGCATCGCGATTTTAAACGATGAATAAATTATGATCATATAATAATGCAATATAATTGCGTCCATAATTCTTATTTTTTGTCACTGTTTAATTACCGAGAATCAATTCTTGTACATGCTGCGGCATAATTGGCTTTTTCAAACGACTGAGAAAGATTTGCAAGGCCGCCGCGCATTCCAGAGCTGCATTGTTCGAATCTTCGAAGTGCGGCTTATGACCCTTTTTCAGGGAATTCAGGATATGCCGTCGAAGTTCGCGACGTCCTGCCCGCCGAAATAGTCCTTCCACTCTAGCATCTTTAATCAAGAGTTAAAATTAAATAATATTCAAATTATTCATATTTGTTAGAAAATGTAACACACATTTTGCAATGTTTGAAATATACTTACGCTCTTTCAAGAAGTGTATAAGTCCTTTCACTGCATCCAGAGACTTCTGCGATATGATGTCATCACCTGCATCCTGTCTGGAAGTTAAAAAAAGCACGGAAGTTAATATTAAAATATTAAATAAACAAACAACTCGTTCAGCAATTAACGGATGTATGTAAAAAGCAGATAAACGATCTGACGCAACGCGGAAAACATTTTTGTTCCCAGAGCCGTGTGTCCTTGCTGCATCCTCCGCATGCGAGCTTATAAAGAGTCTTCGTGATTCCTTTATTCAAATTTTTCAAGCATGCCGAGACACATTTCTTGCCGCTATTTGTTAGTTTACTTGTGCGTGAGCGCGATCCTAGCGTGTGGATTGTCGCGGAGAATTCCTAGACGAGCGTCCTGTCCCTCGTGCAGTCAAGATTGTCCAGAAGCCTTAACCGTTCAGCTACCATGGTAAGCTCAATTCAAATATAAGCATACAATAATTATCTAAGCGTGAAAAAATTCTAATCAAGATTCGAGAATATTAAAATCCTAAAATTTCACTAAATCCAGATATATTAGATTTTATGAATTTCAGAATGGATTTATGTAGAATTTAATTTCAAAATGTGAAATAATCAGGATTTTTTTTTTAATTTTAGAAGCTTATTGTTTGAAATTTAATGAACGACAAATGTGAAAATGTTCCAGGTATCCTCGTCAAGAATCAGTTCTGCAATCAAGCATCCCGCGAGATTTTTCAACCAGCCAAAATTCTCTTCACTCTCGCTTAATGCAAGAACGAATGTCTCAAGATGTCGGCAATAACAATATGTTACTGAATGAAAATGCAATGTCCTTCGGAAACTATAGGAGTTTGCCTCAACAAGCATCTACGAGTGAAAATTTTATTTTCAAGTTCCCGGAATATGTAGACAGGCGGACGACCTCTCAGAATGATTTTGCGTACGAATATCCTCCCGTTTACGTTTCTCCACCGAAACAATTTTTCGACAGGTCGGAAAATTTGTTCCTCAGAAATCCTCGCGATCAAAATTCAGAGTTCTCATTAGAGAACTCTGGGAACTTCCAGGGCTACACAGAAAATGAGGATCCTGCGAACAAAATGCTCGTTGTGTACCGCGCCGACAGAAACACAGAGCCTTCGGGGGAGAATTTAAAGGACGCTTCTTCTTCGAGTTATATTCTGCCAAAAAGATCCTTCCCAAAAATCGAAAATACTTTCCAGTTACGTCGACAAGACCTCGACAAGGAAAAAAGTATGATTGAGGAAACTACAAGTCCTGCCAATCAGGAATACGATTTTACGTATCTTGGAAAAGAATATTATCCCACAAACTTCGACGAAATTAAACCTAATTATATCGTTCCTCAGAAAATCCGAAAGCCGACAAAAAATGAAAAGCTTTTCGATAATTGGGATACGAATGGTTCGTTGCGGTCTTCGAATTTAAGACAGTTGATGCAACCTGAAGATAACTTTTTCAGAAATCCTGTAGACAAGCAGGAGACGATTATCACCGAAGAAAATAATGATTATTTTAATCAAAATCCTTACGTGTCCCCTCAGGAATTGAATATTTGGAAACCGTCAGAGAAAGAAGAATTTTTTAATAATTTCAATTTTGCACGCAAGAACTCACAAGAAATGAAACCCGCAGAAATGAAACGATTACAGAAAGCTGAAAATAATTGGCTGTATCCTGCGATGAATACCAGATATTTCGACGGCGAGAACGACGAGGAATATTTCGAAAATGAAGAAAATATGAATCAAGATTATTTTTACGACGACATTGAAAAAGACACCATCATGAAAGATAATTATAATCCTTATACCGTTTTCCCAGATATGAATATTTGGGGACCAGTGCCAGATGAAGAATTTTCCAAAGATTTGGATTTCACGCATGGAAACTTGCAAGATGTTCAAAAAGAGGAGCAGTTGGAAATGTATCCTAACAAAAATAACAATCATTTCCAGAACGAAGAGAAAGAGAATACAAACATTGATAAAGCTCACGCCAATGCAGATCAAATTATTCATCCACGAAAAATTAATCCTTATATTACTAATCTTTTTTCTCGATACTTTGGTATTTTAAATAATCTAAGATATCCTGCTGAATCCTTGAAAACGCAAGAATTATCGAAACCTAAAAGTAACATACATGTGAATTCTAATGAAAACAGAAACAAAAGGCTCTTCAAGGATGAACCCATTACGAATGACGCGCCTAAGGATCCGGTTACTCCTACAAACATTTTGTATATAAGGAAATACAAAAGTCCTGCTGTTGACACGCAAAATGTAAAGACCAACATCCAGAATGAAACTTCGACAAAATTTGATCCTGATTTATTGGACGATATTGAAGATCTTCCAGCAGAACCAACCGAACCGACATCAACAGATTCTCCGATAGAACTTTCTACGCCACAACAATAAGAACTTTTCGATGCTGTACATGATTTTCCTATCTTTTATTTAAGAATCTTTCGGTGTCGAAAGCTTATTCTTTATTCGTCTGCATTTCATTTTAATTAAATTATACTCTAATACTAGTAAATATAAACTTAGCAAATGTATTTTTACAAGCAAATGCTAATTTAGTCTAAGAAAATATAAAAATCTACTATTTATTAATGTTAACAACAAAATATGTTTAATGCGATAAATAATGTGTCGTAAAAATTATCGTTAATCATTAACTAACAGAGAATTTATTGTACATATGTTCTACTTTAACAAATAAAATTTTACATACATCTTCTGTCACCAAAATTCAAGATTACTTTTAATTCTTTATCATTAAAAAATAAATAATTATCAGGAAAAATTTTTTTATGATTTTTTAATACATATCTTATTTTTTCTTTTTCATATAAATTTTCTATCTAAGAAAAACAAAAAGCAGATAAATATAATGAAAAATTACATTTTCTACATCTATGTGAATAAATCAGATTATATACATTTTGACTTATATACATTTTTTTACATAGTAAGTAATATGGGTAAGTGGTATTTTTGAAGTGTATGTGGGTATGTGGATTCCGTCAAACATGTGGAATTTGATGGATAAGCGAAAAGAAGTGCAAATGGCGACATGCGAATATTGTGACATAAATGGAAATGCAAGTAAATCCATGCACTTGTAAGTTTCAATATACAGCAATTTATTGAGTTGCAACACTTGTTTGATTTCGAGTATTTGCTGTGCTTACTTCCAAAAAGATTCAAAACGCAATAATTATGCAATTAATACAAATTCATAATATTCAAAAAATGTTATTAAACTCAATGTTGTCCAGTAATATTCAAATTGCATCAGATTTTCTTGCAACTTCATTAATTTTTGTTCAACATTTTTATACGATAATAATTTCATAAATACTCTCTGCTAAGAATCGCGGAACAAAATTAAATGATTAAAACAAGTATCGATAAATAAAAAAATAAAATATTGTGTTTTTAAGTTCTTAAATAATTTTTAATTACTTTTTTATTATAAAATTTCCTAAATATCTATTGTAATTCTCTCTATTCGTCGCTTGTAAAATGATATAAAAAGAATTTATGCGACTCTGCGCAAAAATTTATAAAAATTGTACGATTTAGCTATCCACGCTAATTTTATTCCTAGTCGATCAACCGTTGTCACGTTCCGCAATCACGCGGTAACGAGGACGTGGATGAAGACGAGACGATGTTTAATCACGCATCGAAATTTGCCGATGCATCGAATCGCTCGAATAATTTCGCAAGCAACGTGAATGATTTCGCCGCCGACTCCGATTTCACGACTGCTCGTGGATTCCCTTAAAAAACCGACACGCTCGTTCGGAATCATCAGTCCGACTTCGACTTCAGTTACGACTTCGACTAACCAACGATGCATCTGAAGAGTTGCTGCGCTCTACTCCTGCTGGCGCTGGTCGCCTGTCAGGCCGCACCCTCGCTCAAAGCCGAGGATAGGTCGATCGAAGCGGAATCGGAGGAGCTGAGCGGAATCGAAGAGACTGATGCAGAAAAGGAAAGACACAAGAAGTCGACAACTTTATGTGTGGAGTTCAATTCGGGAGGACAACAGGTTCCCTGCAGCCAGTTGCAACAGCAGCAGCAGCAGCCGCAGCAGCCAGCTGTGCTTGTGCAAGAAGCACAGTCTAAACCTTATTACTTCCTGTCGCAACCGTCACAGCAGGCCCAACAATCTCAGACCATAGTAGTGCCGGCTTCTCAACCAGTTGTGCAACCAACTCCTCAGGCCCACATTATCCACTTACAAGGGCCTCAACCGCAACCGCAACCGCAACCGCAACAGAAAATAGTGGTGCAGCAGCCTCAACAAGTTGTTCAGCCGACTTATTCAACTGTTCAAATAGTTCAACCTCAACCTCAACCTCAGCCTCAGCCTCAGCCTCAGCCTCAGCCTCAGCCTCAGCCTCAGCCTCAGCCTCAACCAACTGTAAAGGTGCAGACCCGACCATCTGTCCAGCTCCAGCCTCCAGCTGTTCAGGTGAAGCCCCAACCAACCTACCAGGTGCAGACTCGACCAGCTCAGGTTCAAGTACTTCAGCCTCAACAAATTCCGCCGCACACCCACGTCATCCAAATTCAAAATCAGCCTCTGCCTCAGCCTCAACCTCAACAAAACACCGTAGTCGTGCCTAATGCTCCAGTTCAGCAACAAAAGACCCAGGTAATATCTGGCAACAGTTCAGAATCAGAATCATCTCAGATCATCAATATCATACGAACAAACGTAACAACAGTCACAATCAATATTCATATCATTCAATCGCAACGTTCCTCAGCCGATACTGAAAGTCCATCAACAACTCAAACCATTGATTCAAATAGTAAAAAGCGCTAACATAAGTAATTGAACAGCAGAGGCCAGTGGTAAGATGATAAATTTAAATAAATATCAGAACATATCGTAAAAATTAAATGTCAGTAATGATAAATTTAAAGATGTTATTTTCTTAGTGAGAAATTAAATTAATTTTCTAATAAAATTAATTTAATTGGCCATGTTGTTCAACTAAAGTTCGCCCGAAATTAACAAAGAATTAATTAATTAATATATTATTAACGTATTAATGTAATTTTCATGAATCAGGTCCTGGTTCCAAGTATAAAGTTCGAATCTCCTGCTCCCTGCGCATCAGAACTGGTAATTCAACAGCCTCAGGTGGAAGTGCTTACTCCTCAAATTTATTCTCAAGTTGTACAGCCACAACCAACCATCATCGAGGTAATTATCAGATGTCATTTAAAATTTGCCACAAGCAATTATTAGTTTCCTCTACAATCCTTAAATCTTCGAGTCCTCTTTTTAAAATAGTCACATCATGTATATCTCAGTATTGAGTAAAACGTGTCGTTTCTCATTGTTCCAGGTGCCATACAGTGTGCAGCAAGAAGCACAGCCTGAAGATGACTTATACGAGTGCAGTTGCCATCCCGGAAAACAGAGTTTAAAAACCAAATACCCTACAGTAACCGACGTTCTAACGTTGGCGTACCCTGGCGCCTCGATCGTCTCTGGCGGTCCGCTCGTCTCTGCCAGAGCGTCTATTGAACCCATCTCCTCTGGCGCGTCTATGGGGCCCATCAGCGGCAGCGCGTCTCTTGGACCCATCACCGGCAGCACGTCTCTTGGATTGCTCTCCAGCCGCTCGTCCTTTAAAAGCCCGCTTTTAAATCTCAATACAGACGTCAATCATTTCCAAGATTTGGCATATACGGTGAGTACCAAACCGCTAGTAAGTGAACAATGGTATCATATAATGCCACATTGATTTTGTGATAATAAACGAGATATTTGGCGCGGCGTTAACACGATGTGATTTTTGAAGTGATAGTTTTGATACGACATCAAAAGATTCCTGTCCGCGCAATTTTATTCTTTCTATGAAGAATTTCTATAAAGAGATTTTGTGAAAAAAAGTCCTTCTTTAAAGAAGGACCAATGGTTCGGTTGAGAGCTGAGTACATAATATTTGATTTCACGCACAGGTTTAATACCTTCGGTGACTTCGTTAAGGAAATTGGACCAAGCAAGGGTCAACAAACGTCTAAAATGTACTGAACACGCGTGTGTCTTCGACGGGATATTTTAATGTATTGTTTGTTCAGAAAATAAAAAAATTGTTAATATTTATATTATATACATATTATATATATATACACACACACACATATGAAATCTTTTCGATTGTTCCCCCTTTAATTCCCGATTTAACATCCAATTTTATTATAATCTAACGTAATATCTAAAATAGTGTACTGCGTTGGAATCTTTTGATGCGTACAAAACGGAATATTCGTCAAGCGCTGAATCGCAGCTCATCTGGAGAGAATTGAGAGAATTATCGTTCAGCAAATTCGCACTAGACGAAATAAACAGTTATCTTCAAGCTTCATGGTTTCAAAAAAAAAAAAAAAAAAAAAAAAAA